CACACACACACACACACACACACACACACACACACACACAGTATAAAGCCAGCTAGGTGGCTTTCTGGGAGCCTGTAAGGAGGGAGGCTGACGTTTGTAACCCAAAGATTGTGCTGTCTTACCCACCCCTTTCCGTGCAGGGCAGGGGCAAGACCTGCATCATGGGAAGGGTCGGTGACTCTTTGTGATCTAGGTGGTTTGTATGCTCGTGTGTGTTGGGCACGAGGAGGTGAGTCCTTGTGTAGACGTGTGCAAGGAGGCCTGATACCTTAAGCTCTAAGCTTGGGTCCTGGGCCTTTAAAGTTCTTGAGACACGAGTCTGTCTCCTCCCTGCCCCAGAATCAAATAGTCTCTATTCCGTAGAGAAAAACAGAGTCCGTCAGGTTTGGACAATGTTGAACAGATTACGGGCAGAGAGCACACCAAAAGATCCTCAAGGTTGGCAGGAGAAGGGGGATTTCCTTCCTATAAGGGGCGCACTGGGTTAAGGGAAAGAAGAACAAATAGAGGCTTAACGGCTGCTTTCTTTACTCAGAGAGCTGGAATAAGTGGGGAGGGTCGCGAAACCTAGTCCCCATGGAGATTCTAGTCCTACCCGTTCCTGCAGCGGGCCAGCTCTGGGAAAGACAAGACCGTCAGACCGAGGCCCAGCGCTGGCAACATACTCCACTCCTGGTTTTGATACCCACCAACCCTTCTTTCCCCGGCCCTCCGCGGTTCCGAGTCCAGAGCTAACGCCCTCGAGAGGCCACCGAGCGGAAAACCCGGTGTGGATCCCCACGCTTTGGAACGGAGTCAGAGGGCACCTCGGAGGAGGTGGCCAGCGGGGCGACCCTGTGGCGTGAGAGGCCACCCGTGGCGCCCGAGCCGAGCGGATCACATCTTCCGTAGCCTGGACGAAGCTAGTCGTGGAGCTCCGCCGCCCTTCCAGGCGGGGCTCCGGGAGCGCCTGAGGTGCGCGGGGCGGCGGCCGTGCCCTCGGGGCGGCTCCGGGCGGCGGCGGCCAGTCCAGGGCTGCAGTGCAGCGCGAGGCCGGCAGTGGGCGCAGCAGTGGCAGCGGCCGTGGCGCTCAGCGGCGGGCGGGCGGCGCCGGCGGTGCCCCGGGCGCGCACACACACATACACACACACATACACACACACACACACACACACACACACTCACGCACGCACGCACACACACACACATACACACACACACACCACACACACACACCGCCTCGTACACACTCACACACGCTCCGGCGCGCACACGCGGCGCGCAGGCCAGAGGGAGGAGGCTCCGCGCGGCTCGGCGGCGGCGGCGGCGGCGGCAGCGTGCTCCGCGGGCGGCCGGGAGGGCTGGCGGGCGGCCCCCGCTCCCCGGCTCCGCGGCTCTGTGCAGCCCGCGCGGCCCCCGCCCTCGGACCCGCCCCCGGGGGTCGCCCGGCCCCATGCCCTGCAGCGGCGGCAGAGCAGCGCGCGGCCGCTGGCGGCTCTGAGGAGCCCGGAGGGAGCCGGCGACGAGGGGACCATGTACCGGGACCCGGAGGCGGCCAGCCCAGGTAAGCGCGGCCCCGCGCGGGCTGGGGCGCCCCGCACCGGCGGGCAGGATGGCTGCAGCGCCTGGGCGCCGTCTCGGAGCCCCAGCCTGGGGCTGCTGTCGGCTGGAGCCGCACGAATTGCACCTCTTTCTACCAGGGTCATCCCTGCCCCGGGGGCGTGGGTTCTAGCGGCAGAGACTGAGACTCCCAGACCCGGCGATCGGGACATGGCTAGGCTGGATGCCCGGGGCCGGCTTCGCAGTGTCCCCACAAGGACCTCCCCCCCTCACCCCCCGAACAGCCCAAGGACAACGTGTGTGGCGGAGCGAGGAGCTGGGTCCCCGTGGGAGCCGGGTAGTGCCCTCAGAGGTGTACCCGTTGCTCCCCAGCACCAGTGTTCTGGGGATGTCAGTGTTGGGGGACCTCAGGGCAAGGAGGATCCTGGCAGCCCTGGGCCGAGATTGTGGGCACAGGGGAGCGGAGTGTCATCTGCGGTACCAACTGTGAATTGAGAGGGCTCCAGGGGGCAAGTGGGAATCTGGTGCAGTGGCGGGGGATAGAGGCTTCTGGGGGGTGGGGAACCGCAGGAGCGGTGAAGGGGGAAGCAGGGGTACCTGAAGAGAAAGCGCAGCGTGGATGACAATGGGGGTGGCGGGGCAATGTTCTTCTAGGCTTGGGGAGGGGGACCCAAAGAGCACCAAACTCACTCCGGTCCTACCAGGGAGGGAGGGGAAGGGGGCCGCACCCCTTTGCCTTTCTGAAAGGGAGTGGCCTGGGAGCCCACTGTAGGCTTAGCATCTATCTAGCTTCCGTAGAGCCCAAGCCAGGATTTTCTCCTCCTTCCTCGGGAAATTGCTCTGCCATTTCCTCCTTGGCTCCTGACGCCTCCCCCACGCAGTGCCCACCTGTAGACAGGTCCCCTGCAGCTCCTGTCCAGGCTCAGTTCCAGCTCCCACCTGGGATACTCCTCCAGACCCAGCAGAACCCCTCTACCCCCACTTTTGCTAGTTCACACCTCCTGCCCTTTGGGGTCTGTTTCTGGGCAGCTTTCCAAGGCTAAGAGCTGGGCTCCAGCCTGAGACCTACTCCTACAACAGTCTAGTTTCCCTGCTGTGGGCAGGGAAGGGGAGGGGAGAAAGGCCAACCCCCAAAACCCTTCACAGAAGGGGACTAGAGCTCTGAAGCTCTGCGTAGCAAGCTGGTGGACACTGGCTTTGCCCATTTGTGCCCAGTCCACACCTGCTGTTTTCCCTAATGGGGCACTCCAAGTCCACCGAGGCTGACCTACTGAGCGCTGGACTTTGTACTTACTCAACGTTTGGGTCTGAGACTCAGTGTCCTCTGGAGCTTCATGCCCTTCTCTGAATGTCCTCTAGGTGTGGGTTGAAGGGACATTACCTTTGAGGGGCACTTCCCTCATCTGTCTGGACCCAGGTCACCTGCCCTGACATTTTCCCCCAGGGAATGCCCACTTCTTAGATTTGGACCAAAGGCAGGGGCATCGTCTTGCTTGGCTCACTCTCAGCAGCCAAGTTCAGAGCCCCAGCTCAGGAATGAGGATGGGAGGGCCTGCAGTGGGGACAGTCTCCACTGTTGTTAGGCCACTGCCCTGGGGCCATGCCTTCATCAACCCGCTCTTCTAATACTTTGGCACCATGATGTACCACTCCTCCAAGCACCTCTGTCCTTGATGTGCTTGGCATCTTCTGGGCAAAGGGCCTGGATTCCACAGCTGCTCCTGACAGGCTGGCAGCCCCTGGACCTTTCCTCTCCTGCTTACCCAATCTTGCCCCTTGAAACTGCTGGTTCCACCAATGCCCGTGGTAAGGGTGGTTCTGACCGTGAAGGAAGCTGGTGAGGTTTTCTTCTGTCTGACAGGAACCAAAAATAGGTTGGAGCAGTTAGGGTAAGTTTGAATCCTGATCCTCTGGGGCCTCTGGGGGCCTTTTGTGGCCTGTAGTGTCACTGTCACTTCTTAGAATCCCTATAGTTCTATGTCAGGTTCCCATCCCTAGCAGCTTACTCAAGGCCTGCCAGACTCAGCTACCCACAGCTGGGGCCCTATGCCCCCCACTTCTAACCACCCACAACTCCCCTTTGCCTGGCACCAGGTAGGAGTGAGATATGCAAAGTAATTCCTGTGTGACTCAGACCAGTCCCTCATCTCCCTTCTGGTCCCACAGGAGCCAGTACCTCTTACAGCCTGGTCTCCTCATCCGCTCCTCTCAGGAACACCTGTGGCCCTCTGTTGCTTTATTACAAAAAGAGAGAAAGGAAGAAAGAAAGCCCCTTCTGCTCCTTATGCCCCAGACCAGTTGCACAGGTTTTCTCTCTCACCCCTCTGCAGGTCCCCAAAGGGCTCATTCTAAGTCTGAGACTTTACCTGACAGGTGCTTTCCCCTTTCCACCTGGTCCCTGGCCCCAAGCACTCTTGCTCCTGTTATTACAAAGGACGAGGTAGTGGAAGAGCATAGGAGCCAGGGACAGATGCAGACCTGTTCCTTCCTGTGCACACCTATGAGCTCCTGCTCCATACTGTCCAGCCACCCCTGCCCAACCTGCAGCCTCCTCTGTCCTCTGCCTCCTGCCTCCATTCTGTATCCAAAAGCTGGCCTGCCCTACCTTCTTTTAGTTTATCTCTCTGACTGTCCCCAGGCTGGGCAGGGCCTCAGCAGGCCTGCAGGGGTCAGCGTTGCAGTGGGCAGGCAGGACAGGCAGGACAGCAGTGGGAAGGAGGAGGGAGGGAGAGGTGACCTTGCGGTGAGCTAGTGAGCAAGGCCAAAGAGAGAAGGGCTAGGAGAGCGAGGTCAGGTCCCAAGGCCTTTCTATTCAGTCACCAAGCGTCTGGGACTTTGTTGGGCCCAAAAATTGACAGTAGTGCCTGAAGCCTCCATCTCTCCCACCTGTTAGTGGGCCCTGCCCCCTGCTATTAGGCAGGTCATTCCTTAGGTGTAAAAGAGGGCAGACTTGTTTGTATATCATACAGGGCAGAGGGCCTTGGCATGGCAAGGTAATTGTCTAAATCAACTGTCCTACTCCCTGGGCATAGTTAAGGACAGAGTCTGATGAAGGGATTGGTGTGAGGCTGGGGTTAGGGCTGAACGAATAGGTTAAGTTTATGGTATAAGGACCATGGATGGGGCTAGAGCTAAGGCTGGGTGTAGAACTCCAACAAAGTCAGACTATCCCACAGTTTCCCTGACAACTCTTCAAAGAGCATTCCTCTCCTAGATGACCCCATCTGTTCAGACTCCATTTGCTGTTATGCCTGTGTCCTGGGCTTGCAGCAGAGGTTAAAACTTCAGAGCACTTGGTCTTCACAACAAGTATGGCAGGAAGGGGGTCTGAGGCTGAGCAAGGTGTAACATTGTGTTGGGAGAGGATGACCTTTGGGTATAGGGTAGAGTTGCTGTGGTCACAGGCCTCTCATTGACTCTGGTCTGTGTTGTTCCTTGGCCCTGTGGGGACAACTTGACTATAGGGCTAAGTGCTTAAGGACCCAAGGATTGAGAAAAGAGATGGCCCTGAAGACCTTTTTTGATGGTAGGGCTGATAAAGAAGGTTGGATCTTGGTGACGGGCCAGCTTATGATAGGTGGTAAGGGGTTGAGGGGGGCTAGAAGGCAGAGGAGCAGGTGGGCATCAAGTAAGCAGAGAGAAGTCTTTGAACAGCCGGCCCTGGTCCTAGCTGACCCACAGGCTCCAAGGGTCCTCCAGCCCTGGTATTGAAGCATGTCATGGGGGCAGGGCAGAGGAGGAGCATGTGGTCCCCTCCTACCCACCCCTATTCTCCACCCACCACCTAGTCTCTCAGGGACTTTGAATCCTTATTGAATCTGATGGACCGTTTTCAATAACTGCTTCCCCCAGGGGAAGAAGGCCCAGAACAACAGGCGAGGAGCTGATGAGGGGGCCATGTGCTAGCTGGGCAGCTCAGTTCTGAGTGGAGGAGGGGGAGTCGATTCCATGGCCTCCTCAGAGACACTGAGATATCCCAGGTGGGCGCAGGCATCTTGTGTGTAGTCCCCATTCCATGGTCAGTGCCCGCAGGTGGCACTCATGGTCAATGAGGTCAGCTTTCTCTACCAGGGCGGTCACTGCTCTGGCCAGGTGCCGGAGCCAGCCTGTGCCAGGACAAGCCTGGGTACCCTTCTACCTTGCCAGGGAACCCCGGCAAGTGGTGCCAAGCGAATTGTGCCAGTTCCATGGACATGGAGGTGCTGACCTTCAGGCAGCAGGGGGTAGTAGCTCTGCTGGGCTCTGTCCAATTTGCCTCTGGAGGGCCAGGCTTTGTCTCACCCAGCAGAATTCCCTGAGGGTTGGAACAGAGTTGGCAGCCAGCATGGGACCTGTGGAAGGGACTGGAGAGTGCCCAGCGTTGATGCCTGCATCTCCAGCCCTTTGGTAGGAAGGTGGGCTGGTGCAGCGGCTGCTCAAGAAAGCTCGGCAGCTTCTACCTAGAAGGGACACTCGGGATAGGTGTGTCGCCAGGGGTGGTTGGGCCTGAAACTGAGTTATATGGTGGGCTGGGATGTTTGGGGAATTGGTATATCCACACGACAGCGCATGTGGGGCTCCAGCGAGAGGGAAGGGGGAGACGGGGTGGCGGCAGAAGCTCGGCGGCTATGTGTACCTACGTGTGTGGTGCATGTGCGGGCGGCAGCTGGCTGGCCGTAATAGCTGTGCTCCTCCGAGTGCCGGGTGCCCTGCCCGCTGTAAACAGCAGCTAATGAGTGTATTCATAGCGAGGTGCATTGAGGTGCATTGGGAGCTGTGACGGAAAGCTTAGGGGAGGTCCCCTCCCTCAGTCCTGTACTCAGCCTGGCAGGGTGTGGGCTCTCTAGGGATCCTGCCTGCCCCCAGCCACACCCTCGACCTGCCAACTTGACTGTCTCGGAGGCATCCATCTTCAGGGAGCAGGGCTTCACCTAGCTGTAAGCATGCATGGGTGTGAACATGGGATGGGTTGTGGGAGTATTCTGTTTACAGAGACGAGAATACCATGATGCTGTGTGGCTGTGT